TATATATATATATATATATATATATATATATATATAGTGTATGTATGACATGTATACATATATATGTACATATTACATATTCATACATGATATATACATATACATGTATATATTATTTTTCTATGATACCAAAAGAAAGACAGCTTATATAAAAATATAACTAATGTATATACAAGAACATAAAGTCATTAAATCGGTAAAATCTGACGTGTCAGATCCAACGAAAATCCAATTTTATATGATAGTGAGTGCGGTGATTGCTTAGTGTTCGAGACAGTGCTTACATCAGAACTGATTCTCCAACTCTCTTTCTCTTTGCTCTTGCAAAATTATAATATAATTATAATAGTACACGGTCGCATCTCATTTAAAGAACTGATTCCAAAGCTTATCTGATCACTCGCCATACATACACTACAAATGGATTACAAATAGAAATTGACATTCACACAAAAGTATCCTACGTGCAATGTTGTACATTTCTTCTGTGTACAGTTAATCTTTCTTTTTTTGGAACCACCCAAGTCATATCTTTGACGATTTTTATTAGAATCGTCATTAATTCGTCCAGTGTTTTATACACTCATATATAATCTTTTGAAATTGATATTGCATTTATTTTAATATCTCTTGTCTCGTTTTTGATACAAATAAATATCTTCTTTAATCCCACTTTCTTCCCTTCAGAGAGAAAGTTAGATTGATAGAATAACAAACGTATAATTACAATAATAAAGATTTCACGACACACGCAGACGTTATCCTATATGAATTGTAATTAACAAGTACTAAAATAAAGATCGCTCGCAGCGGTATTCAACATTTTACTCCTTGCCTCGATAAGCGAGCCAAAAGTAAAACTCTGAATTGAATTATCGTCATAAACTAAACTAATTATAGTCAAAATAACGTCACTATAAAGTATAATCATATCGATGTTTAGGATCCCTTTTTTCCATCTTTATATTTTCACATCGTTCATAGATATATGTATATGAAAAATTGTACTGTGAATGTTTATGTAACTCGTATTTTTTTGTTTTTCGATCCAGCACGTATCATAATACTTTTCGGAATAGAAAATTGTAAAACTGCAATTTCGTCGATGTGTCGCATTTCAGTATTACAAATCCTGGATCAAACAAAATTGCAAACAGTGACAAAAGGGACACAGTAACGAGTTGCGCGCGTCAAATATAATGTAAAATAAACTTCATAATATATTACGATAAATATATGTTGTGTATTTCACGTGCATATGCGATATATACAACGTATATATACATATACATGCATTATTTTACAGTTCCCGGGATTGGACACATCTTGTCATAGTTTGATTAAATCATTTATCCGTACACTTTGAAATATTAGAAAAAGATGAAACTTGAGTCACTCACGATATAATACAAAGAAACGGTTCCTGGGCGATGTTAATCGAATTAAAAATACGCGAAATATGAAAATTCGAGTGCATCTAATGAGTTATAAGTAATTGAAGGAATCGCAATGTTCGATAGAGAATCAAAGAATAAAAAGTATAAGGAAGAAGGGAAAGAGTGAAGGATGAAGATAATGGTGGTGTTGATAGAGGGAACGATCGTCGCCTCCTAAAACAGCAAACCTATCCGTGATAACCAACTATGCGATTCGATTAAACAAATATACTTAAAGAAGTAGAACAAACCTCCGCGCCGCTCATCGGCTCGGACAAATTATTAAATCAAATGTGTATCGGTACGTGTACCAATAATTCGGCACGGCTAGAGAACACCGCGGAGCACATCTCGCACGTATACTCCAATGTGTCCGGTATTATCGTTTCTGGGACATCGTCTACCGGCGCGATAACACTATGGATAGTCATCATCCTCGTTTGCGATGTCGATTCCACCTTGACACTGAGCTTAACGTTGTCCCTATTGCCCATCTCTCGCACAGTGCTGTGTGGCAATATGCTCTCAACCTCGTCGTCATCCTGAGCGGTAATGACGCTCGCTTCAAAAGCTACTTCCAGATTACTACCATCCACTGCGTGTTCCATCAGTCGTGCCGGATCGCCGCTGTTCTCCATGGTACTGTTATTGTTATTATTATTATTCCGTAACTGTAACACCTGCAGTTGTTGCTGTTGTTGCTCTACCACGTTTGTTTCGATCAACGTATTCAATACCTTCTTCACTACTGGCTGCTTCTGCCGCTTGCTCCTCTTTACGGTAGACGATCTTTTCTTGTTTGCTGACGCCTGAGTTTTACCAAGAGCTAAGATATTACCATTGTTGTTTCTGCGACTGTCACTTGTGGCCTTTTTCATGCCTGGCTCTTGCTTGACGTTAACAGCCAGTAGCTGCTGTGTCGACATGGTAGACGCATTCTCCTTGGTCGATTTTGCCGGAAACGTCGCCGGCGTGAGCTGTGATTTACCTTCAACGTGATAACTGACGTTCTTTGTGCGCGGCCGATTCCGTTCGCCACCTGGAAAGATGCCGGACTTATGCTCATTCGGCATGACCTTTGGTGTCCGGGTAACCATTGTCTTCGTCTTCTGGCCTTTCTTGGCGCCATCGCTGCCCACCTCGACCGGCACTCGCGTCTTCTGTGTGTGAATCATCTTCGGTCGGCCTGACTGGTTCGATGTCTGCGCTTCTTGCTTCTTCTCATCCTTGCGTAGCTTCTTCTTCGAGACCTTCGATTTGGATGCATTTAACTTGGAGTTACTCACAATCGAGTTTATGTTCTGTAGAGAGCTGTCAAAGCCTTTCAGTAGTTTCTCATAGCCTTCCTCGACGTTCGATCGTTGTTTGTTCTTCTTGCCAAGTTTCCGCTTTGTATTGTCTTCCGAATCGGAACCTCCAGTGCCAGTGCCAGTGCCAGTGCCAGTCCCAACGCCAACGCCAACGCCAACGCCAGCGCCAGTGCCAGTACCGCCGCTGCCGCCAACACCACCACTTCCACTGATATTACCGGCGGTACCACTACCGGTACCACCACCGGCGCCACCGCTATTTTCCATCATGTCGTATGTAAACTCGTCTCTACGTACCACTGTATTCGTCTCAAGTTTCGTTTTGCGCCTTCTCTTATACTTGCGCGGCCCACTCTGTGGTTGGCGTCTCAACGCAGTGTTGTCATCGCAATGTTGCACTATATGTGCCACTATTTGCTCAGACGTGCTGTATGACTCGCCACATACCTTACACAAATATGGCGTTATACTGCCCACGCATTTTGGATCTGGACCGGAATGATGGGCGCGCACGTGTTCCCGGAGAACCACCTGTAAGAAAAAGAATACATATTTTAAATTTGATTATTCTAATCAAAACGGAAGTGTACAATTTTTAGAACAATTTAATTTTGTTCGTGCTTTAAAATTGTACCACACGGCTAAATATTGCTACCAGATTAAAATTTATTTGGACTTGTAGTAATAGTTAAATATTCGCCATTTAAACCATAATAAAATAAAGAGGTTCATAAAATGAATAATATGAGGAAAATAGTACTCGTATAATATGCGTTACTATCTTTCTCTTAGTAATGTAAATAAAGTAAAACGTATGTTCGCTATTCGCACTTTCGTGCGTTTTAACTATCAACTTACTCTCTGATTAAATGCCCGAGGACAGATCGCGCACCCGTATGGCTTTTCGCCAGTATGGATGCGCTCGTGTTTTCTCAAGGTACCGCCGTCTGCGAAAGCCTTCCAACAGAATCGGCAACCATACGGCCTCTCGCCAGTATGGATACGTATATGGATCTGCTGTGAGCTGCGACTACCAAAGGTTTTCCCGCATTCGCGGCATGGAAAAGAACGGCCGCCCAGTTCCCTATTATGAGAATGACGGTGGCTTACAAGAGCCCGTCCGTCGGGGAATTCCTCGCCGCACTCGTCGCAAGCTACCATTTTGTTACGGTGCGATACCATGTGTCTGCAAGCAATATATTTGCAATTAAATAGGAAAATTTTATATAAAGAATGAAAGTTGTATTTTTATCAAAGAGATTAAAAATGAATTTAATATTTTAATGTAAGCGTTTGTGTGTGTGTGTGTGTGTGTGTGTGTGTGTGTGTGTGTGTGTTATAATGTACAAAATACACATGCCAGCAAAATTAAAATTTTGTCTTGTTATACTATCTCATTTATACCTTCGTAAACGAGCTTTACTGTGGAAACGCTTCACGCACTTTGTACAACCGAAAGTCTTATCGACATTGTGTATCCAAGAGTGTTTCAGCAAACTGCGCTTGTCCTTGCAAGTTTTTCCACACAGCGTACACGTATTTGGCGGCGCGTTCTCAGCGTGATTCTGTCGCACATGCTCCGCAACTTCTGCTTCATCACGGCATCTTGCCCCGCACAATAGGCAACGACGACTAGGAGATCTAAATTACCAAATAAGTAAATGCATGCATATAAACGTGTTCCTAATGTGTTCGATTCAGAGAAAAGAACTGAAGTCATTTCGCATATATATATATATATATTTCTATTATTAATACTAGTTCGAGTAAATTATGAGTAAATTATTAATACTCGACGAGTAAATTATGAGAAAACACTTGATAGTAAAATTGAGTACTACTAATTTTGCATTGATCGCTAAATTAATGAAAGTTGTGGGATACCTTGAAGCATGAAGTTCCGCATGTGCTAATAGTGCTAGAGCTTCCGTGAACTCTTCTCCGCAAACATTGCACATGTGATGCTGACTGGAACCTTCCATTGTGTCCATCTCCGTCTTTATGTGAATTCTATATGTACGATATTAAACTTTACATAAACAATTTTTTAATATTGACACTCTGGAATACTTGATGCAAATTTAAAATACTTACTTTTGATGGCGTTTAAGTAGATCTAAACGATGGAACGGTACCGCGCAGGTGCTACAATAAAACTCGCCGATCCTCTCGTTGTCGCCCGTGTAAGTGACGTCATTTTCATATTCCTCTGCATCAGATATCTGTTGGGGAATGGTGCCACCGTGCTTTATGCGTACATGTTCTCGCAGACTGTTGACATCCCAGAACATGTCGCCGCACGACGTGCACTCGAACGGACTGTCGCCACCGTGAACGCGCGCGTGTGACGCAAGTGCTTTCTCCCTAGCAAAGCTGATACCACAGGACTGGCAGACGTACGGCTTTGTTGGATCGGTGATAGGCCACGATTGTGGCTGCTGTCTGCCTGTGGCAGACGATATCTCCTCCATCTGCCACCTCGAGCTAGATGCGTAATTGCCACTGCGTGCAAAATAACCATCGGTCAGCTCATCCTCGTAGAAAGATAGCGCGTCCTTGTAAGCATCGTCTGGTTTATACACATACTTGCCCATCTCTATCTTGATTTCCTCGGCATTACGTTTTGGCATACCAGCGGCGGTGTTGTTCTTCCGTTTGCGAGGCACGCTCGATTGCACCTTCTTGCGCCTGCCTTTGTTACCGCCAGTCGACACGTCCTCCTCCTGCTCGGCAACCAGCAAATCCTCGTCATTCAGGTCATCCTCGAGGCCGTCTTGCGACGACGGAGCGTACGCATGGACCTTCAGGTGATTGTTTAGATCACACTTGCGTACATAGCGCGATCCACACAGATTACAACCGTATGGCCGATCTGTCTGGTGTGCCACAATGTGATTCATCAGATTCGCCTTCTTTCGGAACCTACGGCTGCAAAAGTCACATGGATACGGCCGAGCGTTCTGGTAAGAATCCTGATCGATCGGCAATGGTATTTCCATGTCATCGTACTCCAGGAGAGTGTCATGAGTCACCTTAGCCTCTGGAATCTCGACCCTTTAAGTAAAATAATTTGTTAATACACACAGTACACAGAGATACAAAAACATTCCTCAGGTTGAAACAGCGAGAAGATAAAGACTTCGTTAAAGGAAGACCCATTATTTTACATATCTGTACAGAAACTCACCCGTCATCTGGACCGGGTCTGTCCCAGTTGTCAGCTATTACTTCCTCGGTGACTTGTATGTTCAGATAGTCGTGCCCCTGATCTTGTGGCACTATGTAGATCGATTCCATATCGTTGGTCTGAGGTACCATCAGGATCTCGGACTCGGCGGCAGGTACTACGTCGGGAACAGACTCGACGGTTTCCTCCACTGTTACCTCCTCGCAGGCGCCAATCACCTCCTCCTCCGATGCGACCAGCTGCGCCTCTAGGCCGCATATCACCTCCTCGTGAAGCTCCACGTCTCCTACCCATTGTAGATTCAGATCACCGCTGACGTCCATTTTGTGTGGCTTTTCAACTACTTGATGACTGAAATCACTGGCGACGTAAGAGAGATCAGTAAGCTGCACGCTTCGCTCTAACCGTCCAGCGTGTCGCCGCAAATGGGCCGATCCTTGCGAATGGAACGCTGGACTCGCGAACCCGCAACGGTCTCGCGATCGACGGAAATCCACTTATTGCAAAATTTGCGTTCTTATCGCAAAATCGTCCGACATTACGAGGAGCCCTCGAGACAGTGTCAAGACGATCGGTCGCGAGATTAGTTTCCGCGCGCGCACACGAGTTATCCACCGCGGATCCGAGGTTACATCACGCGGCGAGTCGCCGCGGAGCACACCACACGGCGCCTACGCGCGACGACGACGCCTTCGCGTTTCCCTTCCGTGGGGCACGACGGGCGTCGACGGGAACGCGACAGTTCACAGCTCGGACAAGCTCGCGAGCAACACACACCGAACCTACCGAACACCTCTAGCTACGACGAACAATTATTGGCAGGCCGCCGTTCCCCTCTCCCACCCGCGCCACCCGACTCCTCGTCGTCGCCGTTGCGGGTTGCGGGACAAACGATAATCGCGCAATGGCAGTGGCGCGACCGTCCCGAGCTCGCCCCCCGGCCGATCGACGTCGGGCGTCGAGCCGCGTCTCGACGCGGGCCTGAGGTTATAATTATTTAGGTTATAACGAACGTTGGAGGTTATAACGAGAGCGAGATGCGCCGCGTCCTCGGGAACGTGGCGTCGCGACGCCACCGGACGAGGAGTGCCGAGTGGCGCGACGAGCGGCGTTGGCGGTGGCGGCGGCGGCAGCGACGACGACTGACGACGACTGCGACGATCGCGACGGTGATCAGCGGTGGTGACGATGACATCCGAATGACAGTCAGGCTAACCGCGAGCGGTACCGTCCAAGCGAGGCTGATCCTCGTCCTCGCGCGACGGAGTTTCTTTTTCGCACGCGCACTCTTTTCCCTTTCGTCGAAGCGAGTCACACCAGGCGGGCAGGCACAGGCACACGCACACGCACACACAGGCGCGCGCGCGGATCTCAAGCGGAGGCGCGGCGTCGCCGCGCGGACGCCACGCCGAGCGTGACCGGCGCGCGAGACGTGGACGCGGAAACGGACGCGACGGCCGCGGCGCGATTCTACTTACTGTTTCGAAGCTCCAAACGTAACGGCGCAGCCAGCGACCTAACCAAAGAGCGCTCGGTCCCGCGATCGAGACGAGCAGCGTCGACCTTCGCTTGTTTTCAATCCTGGTGGGGGATGCGCGTAGAAATAAACGTGACAAAATGGCGGCTCGTGCGGTGCATGCGCGCGCGCAATTACGAGCGCCGGCATGGGTCGTGCGTAGAAGCGTAGATGGGAAACTCGACCGCGCCACTGCGCGGCCCCGAAAGCCACGCTTCCAAATGATCGGCGACCAATGAGATATTCGTATCCGATCATCCATTGGGAGGACTCGCTTTCGAGGGATTTTGGAATGGGACATTTTTTGTACTTGGAAAACGGATCCCATTGGATGTTTTCCATTGAGAACGTACTCTATAAAAACTCGATACGAAAACTTCAGTGCTTATCTACAATAGGTGTTTTAATAGGTGTTTTACCCTAAGCCCTAAGAAATTGACCAATCACGGTCAATTATTCTTCTCAAATTCAACTGTGATTGAACAATTTCTTAAAGCTTAGGACTTAAAACACCTATTGTAGATGGGCATTTAGTCTGAATAGTCTGAAACTCTGAAGAAAAAAATTGGATGCTTTGATTCGACCGTCGTCCGTCCATTATTGAATAGCGTTATTTATTACTCCACCTCCCCCCCCCTCCGCCGTTTCCGTGACAAAGTCGAAAGTTTTTGTTCTCTGTGCATGCTTTCCGCATGTGACACTAGATAGATATAATATAAACGTTAGACGTTAAAGAAAAAAAGAAAAGGATAAAAAGGTTCAAAAAAACCCGCTACAAAAGAATAAACTTTGTTATCTACAAAACTAACATTAATCCAACAAAATCTACAATCAATTTAATCAATCAAAGGTTGTTCTACATAGAGGTTTTAGTGCAGTGGCAGTAGGGTACTGGTTGTAAGGGCCTAAGCAGAATGGCTGTCTTGGCAGTGTTTTATTATGCCTTAAGTCTTTGTCTTATGTAACGCACAATGCTGTACAGTTATGGGCCTTCTACCACTGTTATGACCTGCTACACCGAAAAGCGCTTCCCTGAGACGTACTGCTACTGCGTTAATACCAGCTTACAACCTCTATGTAGAACAACCTGTTGCTATAAATGTTTAATCCAGAATTGCAGTAACGAAATCACACAAAATTTCACTTATATTTATATAATATAATTATATTAATGTGTATTAGATATAACTCATAGTGATGTACTAATAAAATATAAATAAACATACAAAATGGAATAATAATATCAATACAGGATCGATGGATTAATATACCCCCGCGAGATATTCTTAGTATTTTAATAGCCGCAACTCGCCAAACATGGAATATATATATATATATATATATATATATAATTATTAAAATGTGCATTTAATCAACGCCTAATAACTTAATTAGATCGGCATCGTGAGAAAACGAGCGATGTTACGAGAGAAATAATCTTGATATCTTTTACATTTCATTATTCGCAGCGCGCTACCTTGACAGCAAATGTATATTCTAAAAATGTTCAGAGGATATCGTAAAGCAAGATGTTATAAGGATGTTCTCCATATATTAAGACATCCTTAGAATATTCTATAGATATACAGGATATTAATGCTGTTAGGGTAAACGCACATATGACAGAAAATATGACATATAATTATCAAAATGTACATTTAACGCCTAATAAGCTGACATTGCGAGAAATAAACAGAGTGTTGCGAGAGAGGAATAATTTATTTACATGTTACGTCGTTACGCGTCGCGTTATCATATATCATATCGGTGCAATCAGTGCGCTCGCTGCGGCAACGCGTCGTTGATTCTCTCCGCGACGATAGTAAAAAAAAAAAGGGGGAGAAAGAAAAATATGATTCGTCATTGCGTCATTCGCCTCGCGACTCGCGAGGCAGATATAATCGCGCGTACTCCACGATAACGCGCATCGTAGCTCGGCGCGAGATGAGGAAACGAGTCGTGATATTCGGCTGCACCGGGAACACTGGTCTTTGCGCTCTGAGAACCGCCGTAGCAAATGGTAAGTCTCTTCCGATCGCTCGTTGCGCGTCTTTTTTGCGGCGGCCGGCAACGATGCGGCGATGATTCGGAATCTTCGCGATTGCACCACGTTACACCTTTCACGCTCGAAATAAAGCAAATATATACATATAATTAGATATTAGAGAGAAAAAAGGAAGAATGGAAAGTTACAAGAAGCTCAGCTACAAAGAACGAACCTAATTGTTAAAGAGTCTCTCGAGTCCCTCGTTCCGTCACTCGGGAGTGACGACAATTTGTATGGAGATCAGCAATTGTCGCGACAATTTAGACCTCATTTGCGAGTTATATAGATTTATTTTTAAATTGAGCGATCTGTAAGATCAGTAATTATATCGATAAAGCAAGATGTTTATGCAAGATGTTTATACACATATATATGTGAGGCTACATTAAAATAAATAGTACAATTAGTGAGTAGTTAATTTCTTCCCAGTAAGCAAGAAACATTTTAACTACATTGCAGCAACGTTGTAACGTTAATGCAATATAGTTAAAATGTTTCTTGACGTTTCTTACTTACATAAATCATCGTATATCTTATTGTGTAACTTTGTGATTGCGTGCATAATGTATTAACTTTTTATCTATTTAAATCAAGTGTTACATCAACGTTTTTCTCGATTGTCATTGTTATTTAGGTCTGGCGGTGAGAGCTTTTGTAAGAGATGAGGCCAAGATTCCCGAAGATCTTAAGAGTGATGTCGAACCAGTTGTTGGAGATGTTACTAATGCGGAGCAGGTTGCAAATGCGGTAGCTGGTAGAGACGCCGTCGTGGTAGTGCTTGGTACCGGGCATGATTTGAGTAAGTAGTACATATATTTTTCAATATTTATACGTACATGTACATCTTTCGTTGTTGTCTTATAAGATACTTATTTGTTTTATGCTACTTTAAGGCCCTACTACCGTGCTATCTCAAGGCATGAAGAATATAATAGACGCCATGAAAGCGCACAATGTTGAGCTGGTTTCCGTATGCTTGTCAGGTAAGGTATAATATTGAAGAAGAAGGAAAAAAAAAGATAATAATAGAAATATATTATTGCGCCCAATCTTGCATGATTGCTCAAAAAGATATCTTTTTGGCACTCTTGACACCCTTGGAACTTCTTAGGGAACTTGAGTCTAAATATTCAACTTTATTGTATATATGCTTACTTTTCTCCACTAATGTCTGTCATTGTCTTTCAGCGTTTTTATTCCTCAAATTTGAAGCAGTCCCGGCTATATTTAAAGATTTGACTGCAGATCATCAGCGCATGTTTGATATGATCAAATCGAGTGGTTTAAAGTGGGTGGCGATACTGCCACCACACATTGCAGGTATGTTTAGATAATGAGAGATGACGAAGCATGATTTTCTCGAGAAATCTCACGGATTTCATTTTTCTCTCCAGACACACCAAAATCCAAGTACACCGTCACATTCGATTCTTCACCTGGACGAATAATCTCCAAACACGACTTGGGTGCGTTCCTCGTCGAGTGTCTCGACAATCCCGATTATTACCAAAAGGTCTGCGGCATCGCCACGTCATGATGCGAGAAGAGGAATGTAGGGATATATAAATAATAAGATGCATGTATTTTTTCTAGTGGAAAAATAAATATGTATATTTATGTAAACTGTTATCACGTTCGATAAGTTTGGCATTTATGCAATTGACTCGATTCGCACGAGTTGGATGGAAAGAAGCAAGCGTGTTAAGCGCATTTGTTTTCTGTCGCTGGAATATGAGAGACAGGGAAAGAATATTTGAAATAAATAGAGGCGTATTCTCTGACGAGGAAATTTGCTAAAAAGCTGAGGACGAATCTGCCTGCTGATCATCCATAAAATTAGATTTATAAAAATAGCTGTATTATAAAGTTCAAAAAATAAGTGCGGCGCTCTATTTTGCAACTTATAATAAGAACAGAATTGAAGTATCCAGTGCTTCGCGTCGCCCGACCGAGCTGGAAAGACAAATGCACGTTCATTCGAGAATGATTTCACGTTCCGAAAAATCGTTTATATAATTGATATGTATAGTAGGCGTCATTAATGCCTTCCACCTGAAGCATAGTACATGTAACGTGCACTATAGAAATCCCAAGAACACAGCTAGGAAGGCATTAATGACGCCTGTACTAATGAATATGTTTCCCCTAAACGAAAAGGCTGAAATTCTTCGTTAAGCAATGTGCCAATTCATCTAATCCTACTTCTGTTTTGGTCTACTTGAATCGTATTCATTTTTTTTCCCCTTTAAACATCTAATTTCAATTGACGTGAAAGGTCTCTCGTTGACGTGAGCGGAACGCGCGGAGCACGTTCTGAAATTTTGATGTAACGCTAGTATCACAATTTTTTCACCATGTGCGTCTTTTGAGACAGCATACGCATGTCGAAAAACTTTGACAATTGAAACGCCGGCATCGGGGGCGGCGGTGGTGGTGGTGGCGGTTGTCCGGCGGACTGATCGCCGTTCCGTTCTTTGAATCTTGTCCTGCCGAGGGGCGGACTGGCGGTTATGATGTCGTTAATGCCGTAAGCTTTAAATGGATCGCACACCTTGTATCCGTTCTTGTAATAAAACACTTCCTGACCGTCCGTCTTTAGGTAGATGTTCTTCAGGCCTCTTTTTGCGACGTACTCCTCCACGCCGCGCAACAGTCTAGATCCTAATCCTCGAGATCTACACCGATAGTCGATTACAACTAAAATATCGCAGATATGTAGTTTCCTTTACGGTTTACTATGTGGATTTAACTTGTATTAACATGTGTTTTAAATTAATTTTCCTTGTCAATTCTAATGCCGTGTACGTGTAATTAAAGCTGCTGTCGTTCTTGCTTTTGCTTACCAGACTCTATGAAGCAGCTGACTTTCGATCTGGCCACCAGAGATATCTTGCAGTGCCCGAGAACCTTGTTCTCATCGTTAATTAGAACCAGACACGTGGGAAAACCGTCGCAAGATACATTCAGAGATTTCATTCTGCAATGAAACGATACAAAAACTGTCAGTTCGTTGATATATCCTTACTGTTTTCCTAGATCTTATCTTTGAAACCAAGGAGAGAAGTAACACACCGTGCAGTCTCGCTTCGAGGCCATTCAGAATTAAGCAACTTACAACAGTCTTTGATCAAGTCAGGCCGATGGTGAAGAGGTAACACTACATACTTAACGTTACTTTCCGTCATATCTCGCCTGCAACCAAAAATGGATATTGTTAGACACATTTCAGAATCTGATTAAACAGATTATTAAAGATTCGTAAAGGATGTCGAAAGATTTATCTTCAAGTGTATATCACTCCTTTTTCACGTATATAATTATCCTAAATCTCTTTGCATTTAAATACATGTTCAATTTTCTATTGCATCTTTATATTTTTAAGTTTTTCTATTTTCTTCTATAGAAATATATAAAATTTGTTTCTCATTTATATTTTTATGTATCTCCTATGATATAGCCTTTTATCATTCTTGAAAGTAAAACTTCAAAGTATTTCCTTTTAACTAAACCTGTTAACACATCTACTTTATCCTCTGCAATCAAAAACTCATTTGACACACACACATATACCCACCTGTCAGCCCTAAAAATATATCCTATTATGATCCTATTATGTACGAAAACAGCTACACGAGCTTGCGATACAGCTATGAAATACTGCAAACGCCTATGAGTTTACGAACCTTAATTAATGCATATCTCCCTGTATACGTCTTATTTCCCTTAATCGAGCTGCACCTGACATACATACGTCTTCCTATCTCATATCTATATATAAATATATCTTGGATGCAGATGCAGCCGCGAGTACACATGTGTATGTACGATTACAGCCGAGCCTATCGTAGCGGAAAGTCTATCAAACTGTCGCGTGAGTCGCGTCGCATCTTGCCAGTTGCCACTGACAGGCAAGACGGCGAGGAGAGGATGCCTTTACCGTATATCTCTCAACGGAGGCGGAGGCCGAGAAGTCCGAGAACTCGTTCCCGCGTACTCGGACAGTCGGAGGCGGTGCTCGCCGGTGACGATGACCGACGTGGTGTCCCATCTCAAGTTTTCCGCTCCGGAATACGATATTTCGGGGCTTTATCCCCACCGCGTTCGCGTTATGCCGCATAATCTAATGCGGCGGCGTCTATAACGAGGCGCGCCGCCGCCGCCGCAGCGCCTGTCTTCTCGGATTTCCTGGGGTCCTCGTGGTTCTGCGTTTTCTGACGGCCTGACGGGCAGATCACCTCGTGTCTCGGTCCAAGTACCTCGGCATTTGGAGAGAGAATTTCGGAATGCAAAAATCGCTAATACATCAAATGACTCTTGACTGGAACGCGTGGACCTACTTCTCTTTTAAACGGGTTCTTTTATATGCTTGTTTTCAGCCCATCTCTGTATTATCTCACATCTCACATTGTATTTTCTGCTTGTAATACACACTCGTGATTAATTGTACGATTAATTTTACATGATTAATACGACAGGAAAAAGGAAAGCCAACGGCAGCTCCAGGAATACCTGGGTAGTGGTTCTCTAAAACGAGACAACACTTCCTTTGATATTCTGCATCTATATAATAATCTATTGGGGGTATAAACATATATTCTCCAATCGTTAATAGTATTTAATACTATAAATTCTGCAAGGTTTGGGATAAATCGACGATAATGATAATCGGTGACCAAAATGTTGGATTTAAGAATCCTCGATTGGGAGCAATTGAGGAAAGTTTCGCCCACGTGGCGGCCTACGAAAGTACGCGAAAAAGACGCCCGTGACCGAGTCTATTAATGTTCGCTCCGACGAGGAGAGAAAAAAGGGGAGACGACCCTTTTTCTTTCGGTGCCGCGTGCGTCCCATTTTCTCCCGTAACCTCCATTCTATTTTCGGAGTATGTGATGTGGTCCGCATTTCTCGCGCACGTGACACACCGCACGTGACGGCGATGTGTGTAAATTCGATTTGACAGGAAACTGCATTGTCAACGCGGCGGAGCAGACACAACTGCATTATCGTAGATAATTACAAAAAAAAATACGCTTTTCTGACAATTTTATAAGACTTTTAAAAAATTTTAAACGTCTTTCAAAGACGTTTTAATGTTCTCTGGATATCACAGATAATTTTTCGTGATTATCAGTGGCCCAATTGAAGAATATCAATATCATCGACTGTCGATATAAAGTTTTCGGCGTACTATACGTCAACAATCTCGGCCTGTAATGAAATTGACTTATTATGCTTTGTAAATAAGCATGGATATTTATGGCGCGATATTGTATGTAAGCTGCATTTTATTCCATAATATAATAATTATTATTCTCGTGTATGATCAAACACGACGTGAAATTTTAATAACGTGAGTTGTGCCTTCTAGGTTACGCGTTGCATCTTGCCGTCTGCCGCGAGTGCCGCGTCGTTCACACCACACGCGGAAGAAGAGAAGACGGCAGTTTTTGACGTGTCGTGACTGTCGTGTAGCCAAGTGTCGAACGGGAAATGTTGGATATACGTGCTGCGAGACGCACGAGTTCGTCGCTGTAACATGATTCAGTACACGAGTACATCGTACACCCTGGCCGTGTCCGCTGACACTTGTTCGTGACTCTTTCAATGCAAATGCAACAATACATCCCATGGTTTACGAAGTATAAATAAAGAAGGAGACATGAAAAGCGGTACCCAAGAAACTGTTTGCAAATCGAAAAATGCGACGACCTCGGAAGCGAACGAGAAGGAAGAGAGCGCGACGTATGTGAAGTGATAATTTTATCTGGATTGTTGTACTTGTGTTGATTGTATACTTTTCAGTGAAAAATGTGTCGAAAATGTGACTCTATTGTTTTCCCTTATGATAGAGATACCAGATGTTTTTCTCTCGACTAATGTCATTCTCAAAAGTTATATCTTAGATATTTTTGTTCTTTTTGAAAATGTATTCTTTATTTATAACTAGCTTAAACTTAGTTAACTAAAATCTATAGTTTACGTCACGTACACTATAGCATTTTAGTTAACTAAGGCTGCGTTCGGAATAGCACCTGTATATCTAGAATATTAGGGTGAGATGTCCATGTTTCACAGCAGCCTACATTTTTCACAGGGGTTTAGAAAGTAACTGTGCAAAATTTGATCCAGATTATTCAAAGGGTTTAGGAGTTAATGGGGACACTCAGATAGACATTCTAATTTATATATAT